CCAGCACACCGGCATGACGAGTGTGTTCTCTCGATAAGGGGGCCAAGCTGCTTCCTTTCTGTGTTTTCCTTTCTTGATAAGGTCAAATAACCTCGTTGGCAGCTCACAAGCAACTCTCTCACTAATGAAGTGATGTATTATTTATGCATCTTGAACAGAGTCACAACAGTTGGTCAGGAATGATCAGTTAATCCGAATGTGTGTAAAGCAATTAATACAGATCCAAAATCACATCATCATCACATCACTCATTCTCTCTCTCTCACACACACACATGCTAGTTTTTACAGGAGCCAATTAACCAGCATGTTTTTGAACTGTGGGAAGAAACCAGGGCACCAAGAGGTTTCCTGTGAACATGGGATGAACACGCAAACTCCACGCAGAGAGCACCACAGGAACTGAGCTACCATGCCTCCCCATATCCAAACACTGTTTATGCTTAGTGTCCGTAGCGTATTTAGTCAAATTGAAGCCCATATATCTAAGAATAATAATTTGTTTTGCAGGGTATATGAAAATTCGCCCCGACCCTCACAGGGTCCTGACTGAAAATGTATGGATCAATGTATTTGAACTGGCCACGCTTCGGACGTCTCACTTATTGTGTTTGCTTTGGTGAATAAACCGCCGTTACTATTGTTACAAACTTCTGGTTGAGATGTTTGTTTGTTCAAGTCGGTTCATTAAGACGTCCCTTCTCAGAATGACCGCAAACGATGACATCATACTCGCATCACTCCCCGCCGGGCCGGTGAATTCACGGCATGAGTAATCCAGCTCCTCGCGGCTCTCCGCGGCCCGTCACGGTCACTCGGGGTCACCCCGATGCGCTGATTGGTCCAGCCGGAAAGCGCTTTCGCGTCTCCTCCCTTATCCAGCCAATCACCGCGTTGATACCCTCCCTGCGTGCTTGAAGTCTAACCTTCTCCCCGGTGACGTCACGGCTATCGCCCTCCAATCCCCTGTCTATCACCGAGCTTCCGCTCCACGATTGGGCTGTATCTCAAGCTGTAGGCGGGGTTTGTGCTGACTTTGGCCATGTATTGGTCGCTCTGCATGGCAATCAAAAGACCGCTCGCTGAGGATTGGCCAAAGCGGCAGGCTAGGTGGGCGGGATGAAACCGCGTCTGGTTGACATTGTTGTTGTTGATGTGAGTGAGTGTGAATTTACTGTACGCTCTTTTCGAGTCCTGCTTGTAATACGTTGGAATTGGCACCCGGTGGGTGTATACACGTCTCTTGGGTTTGGAGTTACAGAGAAAATTCCCCCCGGAGTAACGGACCAAGGGATGAGCCAGACATTACGGCGGCCCTGGAAGGTAAGAGGAGAGTAGTTGTGCGCTGCAGACCCGAGAGTTGAGACATTTTTCACCAGCGTCTGAAATCTGCACCCGGCTCCCGGGCAGCTGTCGGACGGGGAGGGCAGGCTCGGCTTGCCGGCGGTGGGCTGAGCCGGGCGAGCCGGCCGGGGCAGCGGGCAGCGGGCTGGCCTGACCCGGCCGCGGAGCCGCTCGGGGTCTCAGGCTGCGGCCGGAGGACATTTCCAGCCAGCCGGGGGCTGGGCGACGCCGAAACCCGAGTGCGGTGCCGCGGATGTGAGCGCCGAGTTGAGAAGCCAGCGTGCGGGGAATTGCACACAATAGCCGTGCACGAATCACGAGCCCCACGATGCGGTTACGTGGCTGAGATCGTGGCTGGTTAGGCTTCATGTATAAGGGAGCGAAATTATTTTAACTTCTCCAGTCAACTTGGGCCCCGATTCGATGGGATGGCCTCGATATCAAAAGTATCCGAAAGTTATTGGGGAAAAAAAAGCCCACATGCGTGCATGCTCAGTTTGTTGATGGAAGTCAAGGATCGTTGTTTGACCCGGGAATGGATGCGGTATGAACAGTTAAGTTCATTTCTCGAAAACACACAGACCCAAAGCGTGCGCTTCAGACGCATGGTAGGGGTGCTCGGTGAATTAAGGGTCTGCACAGGGTGGAGGAAAGTGGGGGTGACCCCAGACCCCCCCTCACTCATTGCGGCTAGGGACCTGGGTGGCACTCCGGGCTCCAGCGTGGGGGGTGTGGAGCTGTCAAGACTTCGAGGGCAAAGATGCCAGGAGGATGAAAGAAAAAAAACGTTTTTACATGTCTTTCCCCCCCTCTTGACGTATAAATACTTGGTTTTGTGTTGGGTTGATTCTCTACGTTGGACTTCGCAGTTTTCCTGTCTCTTTGGAAACTTTGGGAAACTACACCAAGAGCAACGTCTCACATGTTGGCGGCTCAATCCCATTCAACCCCCCCACACACACACACTACTACATCCGTTTAACTCGCAGACATACATTCTCATGTTCAGCAAAATATCCTAGACAACAACATCATTCTCGTTTGCCAAAAAATGTTATTCCGCTTTCTGTGACAGCTGAGACAGCCTCATCAGTCCTTCGGCTTCGAGTGTCCCCGCATGAAGGTCTTCCTTAATTCCTTAAAGCAGAATTCAGCGCCGGTCTGGGTCGTGTTTCTCCCCGAGGAGAGAGCGCTGCTGCTTGTGATGCTACAGAAGGTCACGTCAAGAAACACGTCGGTGTCGCCCTGTAAAAAGCGAGCCCATGCCGAGTGTCCTTGATTGAAACGACTGCCAGAGACGGATCTGTGTTGTCGTTGTGTGCGGTGCCAATCCACTTCTAAATGCGTTTCTAAAACGCGGACCCCGCGTTTTCTGAAGCTCCTGTTGCCATTTTTGTGCGCTTCGTTTTTAACCGGCACTGTTTTTTGCCGGTTATTGTGGAGCCGGTTCCGTTTGGATCTCGGCAGTTAACGGACAAGCGCGGTGAGCAGACGCCTAGGACTTTCAAAAACAGTGTATTGTTTTTGCAGAAAACCCTGCAGACTTACAGACTGGAAAACAAACAGCAGCAAAGTTTAAAGAAGCTTTTGCCCCGCCACCCACACGCACGTTCATTTGCTATGCTATAACCTGACATTACTCAGCGTCTTGTGTTATTGCAACTAATTTGTGCAACTCGGAGAGTGGGCTCTAGACTGTATCCAAGCCCTCGGTAGAGTAGGACCCGTACAGGAAAGTAGTATCGAGTGCTATGTGTTTGGAAGGGCTCGCCTTCCGTTTTCCTAGAGATATTACGTTTATTGCACACGCCATGCGTGAAATTCAGGTCTTCACTTTACTCAGGGGATGGAGAGGAAAGGTGACTGAGGTCTGCGAGTGTTTGAAAAGAATCTACAGGATTTATCGCTGTCGTCATTTCACCTTGCCCTCAGTGAGCACAACACGGGGATATAATTAGACACACGATAGAGGGCGGTTTCGCGACACCCCCAGAAGAATCTTTTTCGACACAGTCTTGTGTCAAACTGTGGAGGAGTGGATTACCCGCACGTGCTGCAGAGGGATTGTCGCGTCCACGCGTGACGCTGCCCCGGATTGCTCACCGTGTGGAGAGCTGACGAGCACTGTGGGCTGGACGGGCTCTTCTTCTCCGATTAGAAATGTCGTGAGCACCAAAGGCAGCACACACACACACACACCTCTGTATCCAGACTTGTCCTGAAGCCTCACGCCGATGGAGACGGGGCGCCGGTTGCCATGGTGAAGAAATGCTGTCAGGAAAAGTGGGAAACCGGGCCACTGCTGAGGGAAATACCGAATTGCTTTGCTGTGTTTTTGAATTGGGGGGAAAAAAAGTTCCCCGACAAGAACAAATGTCACACGATAATCTTAAACGGAGAGGAATCATCTGGAAACGGGAAGTGTTATGGGGGGGCAGCCCTGTGTTGATATCCAACACGAGAGTGATCTTCTCGTGTGCTGTGATTCAGAGCGATGAAAAGTGAAATAAGCTTTTCCTGTATTATTTCTGTCCGCACTACAAAGGCGGGCTGTGGGACAAGTGCCAGGCTTTATTAGCGATAGCCAGTGGAAGTTACGGCTCGCCTTCTTACTTACTGTACACATAGCAACCCAGGGCGCAGGAAAGTCCTCCCGGACATCACCACTACAGGAAAGGGCCAGGTTACACTCGCGCCTGAATTATTCAGCTATTTATTTGTGGGTCTTTTGTGAGGGATAATGTCCTGTGCGTGCACCAAGCAGAAACTAGGGTAAGCAGACGAGCCTGTTCTTGCAGTGCTGGTGAGCCTGCCTGGCAGAGCAGCTACTGTGCGTGGTGATCCAGGAGTGTCTTTCTAGTTTCGGCACTCCTACACCTGGGCGAGGAGCAGCTGACTCTCTCTCAGTACAGCTCGTCGTCTTGATGTTGGTACAGGAACCCCTGAATGGGCAGCTCGAGTCCTCAAGTGTCACCCCGATTTTCATTCCGCCCCTCGATGACTTCATTGATCTCGGTATTTGGCTACAGAGGCCAAATCGGTCTCTAACCTGCAGGTACCCGTGAGGCCCGGAGGACCTGAGCTTTTTCGGCTGCGACCCCACGCTCCTCCGCCGGGGTGTCTCGTGTCCAGTGAGGCAGGTCATTCTGTCTCCTTGCGCTGTGTCCGGCTGGGAGGAGGGTAGCGTGGGTCTGGCGAAGGTCGGTTTCAGGTTTCTCTGCGGCGCTTGCTGGAGTTGCCAATTGTTGTGCTGTAGAAGAATCTTCCAGCTGGTACACGAGAGGGGATCTTGTGATAAGTTTATACTGCACCACAGGGCCTGTAGAACACTGCACTGTTTTGCACGCTGTAATTTGCCACTTATCGTAACGTTTTTATGTCCGGATACCTGCGGGTTATCTTGGTGCCTGCCCTTCTCAAACTCTTCATTTCCGATGACACTGTGACTCCCATTCCCTGTCTGTCCTGGCACTGCTTACAAATGACTACGGAACCACCTTTCATGCTTTTGCTGTTAATTCTTAAGCTGTGATTTCTCTTTCCCCTTTTGCTTCACTGTGTCGTCGTGCTTTCATCTGCAAATGTCCTCATCCTGTCCCGGCTGCTGTCCTGAACTGTATTTCTCCCTGTAGTGGGTTATGATGTGCACCAAGGGTTGTGCAAGTCTAGAACAAGGTTCTAAGTCATATTGATGACACTGATCCCCTGGGATCTCTCAGGAGGGATAGATGAGATCTTGGGATCAGTTAGCTACTAGCGACCAAACAAAACCTGTTACAAAATGATATAGGATGCTGTTAAAACCACCCTTCTAATGTTTTCTATGTGTTCTAATGTTACACTGTGCACTGCAGATGACGAGCACGGTTCAGGGGAGACAGGGTGGGGAATCACAGGTGCGGTCCGAAAAGATGAGAAGGTACCCAATGATGATCAGGGCGGGTGCATGTCTGGAAGTACCTGGCGCTTGAGAATAGAGAGAGGGCAGGAGGCTGGCTAGTGAAGAAGGAGAGGAAAAGGAAAGGCAGCAGGTCGTGTTTGTGTTGCTGCTTAGACTTACTATGCAAACTGTTGCAGCAAAATTCACACCTGCCTGGAGCTGTCAGAGATGAATAAGAGACGTTCGCAAGTGCTAGTTTACTGGGGAAACTCGTGTGAATGAGCGCTGCTTGATCAGTCCACTTTATTGGTGCTTTTTGGTGAGCAGTTTCTCAGAGCACTTCACAAGCTGTATCCCAAAACGCCACGATAAGAGTGCAATACCCCTTTAATAATATACGGGTTAGTCAGATGTCATCTTTTGAACTCAGGAGAGTGAATCACTTTTGTTACAAATTAGCAACCTTCATAAAAACAAGTTCCTATTTAATTGAATTGAGTTTAATGCCTCTGCACTCCTAATGCTAAGTGTTTTGAGGTGGAGTTCACTATGACAGAGTGTAACAGCTGAAGGCCCTGGTTCCAGGTCATATGAAATAATGTCTTGGCATTTTATGCTAGTTTTCCAACAATGGGATTCTTGGTTATAGAAAAAAGTGATTATTTCATCTTGTACTTCTATCTTAATATGCACAGCATTTAGCTGAAGTGCTTCATTGTTGAGAGAAATCACGTTTTTTGTGTATTTTAATTCCGCAGTACATCGCGCGCCTCTGGTCTTTTTGCTTATGGAGAGAGATTTGCAGTGTTGGAGCTCGGCATTATACAACTGTCCAACCTTCTGAGCAACTCGATGATGCAAGGAGCACTGATTCAGTGGAGAAACTGGTTAAAGAGCACCCTTATGATTCATGCAGTTTATGTTATTTATTTTTCCAGTCCGATGCCTTCACAGTTGAAACTTATTTGAACTATTAATAGAATTTCGAAGCGGAGTTTTCCACCAGCTCAGTTGCTGCAGTGGAGGAAGGATATGTCACACCTTCAAAGCTCACAGCCGCACCACTTGGTAAAACTACCCACCCTGACTTAAAGGAGTG